GTGCTGTGGTCAGGGTCCACGCGGAGAGGTGCAGGCGCAACGCAGCGTGGTGAGCGTGCAGCATGGCGATGACAAGCCCGCCGTGCTGCAGCACCCAGCGGCGCGCCGCCTCAAGAGCGCGCGTTGCCCTCACAGCAGCCGACGGCGCCACCACCGGGGGCATCATCCCCTGCAACCAGAAGCATCGGGCGCGCTGCTAGTGCTGCTGCTGCTGCTGCTGCTGCTGCTGCTGGTGCTGCCCAGCGCGCACCCTCTGGGGGCAGGCCGCCGCCGCGCAGCGCCTCCCGCTGCAGCTGGGCCCGCAGGTGGCCCACGCCCGCTCCCGCGCAGCGCGGCCAGCCGAGGGCGTGGCACAGCGCCAGGTCGTGCAGCGCCAGCAGCAGCGGCTCGCGCGCCTGCAAGGGATGGTAGGGGCGGCGGCACGCCCGCGGGGCCAGGGAGCTTATGCAGGAGAGGATGGCGTTGCTGCATGTCCCGAGGCCGCGTGGCGCAGGAGGCATGCAGCCTCATGAGACTGGACTGTTGTGGCGGCGTGCTTGTATCACGGTGCCTGACATACGCCGCGCCCTGTGCATTCAGGGCTGCACAAAAGGGCGAGTGCCAGGGCAGCGGCCGCCGTCGTCGCCGGTGCCCACCGCTGCGCCATCAAACTTGGCTTGACGCAGCGTCTCCGCGGTCAGCTGGATCTCGTAGCTGGCCAGCAGGCGGCACAGGTACTCGATTGTGGTTCTTACGGATCCGGCCTCCCTTTGCTGGTCAGGCAGCATGCGCGCCTGCATACAGGCGCCAAGTAACTTGCAGATCACGCTTTCGAATGATCTGACATGTCGAAAGGTGGATGAATCACAACTAGTGTCATATGTGACAATGATCCTGGATCTTGCTTTATTGCAGAGAGGCTGGTACTGTACATTACCCTGACTGGTATCCCACGCGTCTCGGGTGGCACACCAAAATGCCGGGATCGTCGGCACCAAACCCCGTCGATGAGGCGCTTCGCGCCGCGCTCGATGTTATAGAGCGGGGCCCCGCGTTCCTCACCACACGGGAGGGCCCCGCCGCGCTCGCCCGTGTCGCGACCTGGGTTCTGCCGCCGTCGCCGCCCCCGACGCCTACCCTTCAGCGGCCGCGCTGGACCGCGTTATGGTGCTCGCCCGGTCCCAAGATGCCATCCTCGCGCGGCTCGCCCTGCAGCTGATCGTCCAGTTGACGCAGGGCGACCTCAACCCCCCGCGCGCCGCCGCGATCACCGGCCACGCCGGCCTCGCCGCGGCCCTCGCAGCACTGCGCGGCGGCGGCGCGGCCGCGCCCCCAGGGCGTCAGGAGGCGGAGGACTTCAAGCGCTGAATGGCCGCGATCGTGCTGCGGGAGCTGCTGCGCGCCCCAGAGGCCTGCGATGCCGTCCTCGCACAGCCGTCCGACCCGCTCGCCGCACTGATAGCGGCCCTGCCGCTGCCCCCGACCGGCGCGCCCGGGGGCCCCCAGCCCCCGGCCCCGCCGCCGGCACAAGTGTACGGGCCCGCGTGGGCGGCGCTCGCCTCGTTCACGAGCCTTTCCGGGACACCCGAGGGCGCCGCGCGCTGCAGGGCCGCGCTCGAATCGCGCTGCGGCGGCGGCGGCGGCGGGGCGCGCCTGCTGGAGGCGCTGGGGCCCCGCCTGGTCTTTTCGCTGCAGCCCGACGAAGGCGTCGACGCATGGACGGGTATGACTGCGTTTATATATGCTGCGGTGGGGCTCTACCCCGGGGACGAGGCCGCGGCGCGGCCGGAGGTCGTGGGCGGGCTGTCGCGGCTGCTGGCCCTCGCGCCGGCCGCGCGCGGCGCGTGCCGGCTGGGGTGCACCTGCGGCGAGGAGGAGTCGGCGCTGTTTGCTCAGTACGCGGTGCAGGCCCGGCGCAACGCGCTGGGGGCGCTGCTGACGCTGGTGGTAAGGTCAGTGGCTTTTGTGCACGTGCGTGCGCGTGCGACAGGGCACTGCGGTGGTCGCCTGGGGGACCTGAGGGATGACTCAGGGTGACGTCACTGAGCTGTCCCGGCGGTCGCGCCCGCGCCGCAAAGCTGCGGCCCACCTGTGAGCGTCGCGGCGCGCGAGGCGCTTACCCCCCCCCCCACACTCGGCGCTTACCGAGCCGCTCACTCCCGCGTGGCCAGGCACCCCGCTGTCGCGGAAGCTCTGTCAAAGGACGACGCCGCCCTCCGCGCCCTCACGGCCATCATCGGGCCGCCGCGGCCGGGGCTGTTTGGGGCCGCGCCGGAAGCCTACGCGTCCGACCCCGGGCCCAGTGATGAGGTCGTGATGGCGCTGACGCTGCTGGCGGTCGTCGCGCGCGGCGGCATGTTCCGACGCGCGGCCATAGCGCTCACGCCCGGCGCGCGCGCCGCGCTGGCGGGCCTGCTGACGCCGTCCCCGGCCGACCCCCGCATCCGCTGCGCGGCCGTCGTGTGCGGCGCGGCGCGGCTGCTGGCCGTGATGCTGGAAGCGAAGCCTGGGGAGGAGATGAGCGGGCCCTTCATCACCAGGGGGCTCGACCAGGCCGCGCGCGCGCCGCTGCTGGCGTCCCTCTCCGCACTCGCCGCCGGCGGCGGCGCGGCGCGGTTCGGCGCCACGGCGTCGCCGCGGCTGGTGGCGTCGGGCGCGCTGGAGCGGTGCGCGGCCAACGCAAGCTTCTGCTATGAGCAGCTGCAGATGTTTTTTAATGCGAACATCATGTCTCTCCTGGGAGGGGCATCCAAGTCATGAGCCTGTTGATTGTACACGGCGGGGGCAAGAGGTTGCAGCCAGCTGTGTCCTCAACACCCCGTGCTCCCGATCCATGCCGCATTCACGGACCGCTGGGTCGGTGCGCTGCCCCGGCCGACAGCGGCAGGGGGCTGCCGCACAGGCGATGTGCTGGGGTCCCAGTGAGGGGGGCGCATCTGGGCGCGCACCCGCACTGAGCTGCGATACATAGGATTGTTGCACACAACATGGCCTCGGGCGCGTTCTGCCGCACGGCGTGGGCAATCCGCGATGGCCAGGATCTGCGCAGGCTTCGGGGCCCTTC